TCTAGTTTCTTGTGCAGATATCTTGGTAAACCTGGAATAACACAAACTAATTTAAAATATATTTTTAGCAAGCTATAGAGTCTTATTCTAAATAAGTAAAATAATTCCTTAATATTTGTGAAAAGGTACTTATTCCATTGGCAGATTTATAATAATAAACAGTGTTTGAAAGTATGCCTCTGGTTTTTGTCCTCTCTATATGGTACAAATCTAAAATTAATAGACAAAAAGAGAGGACAGATGTTCTGGTTCTTCTTTATTTGCTCATTAACACTTGAATATTTCCAAAATACCAGACGATATTAGGTGACTTATGAGGGCTCAAATATTGTTGTCAAAATGACGGATCGTGTGGGAAATGGTGTGAGCTGAAACTTCGCTTACAGTGTTCATGAAATGCTTCGGTGGATCTGCTGGATGACAGAAGATGTTCTCTGAAACTCCCAGTTGGACAGACGATTAAATCTTCCCCAAGTCCGTTAAAACCTGGTGGAACTGATTTAATACGTGATCTTTACGGATGTCAGGCTGGATGTCTGTCTCTAATCATGTAGAAATGTTTTAGCTAGTGAGACATGGCCGCCGCCACATGCATTTTCTGCCTAATAAAGTCGGTGAAATGTGCTTTTAACAGCTCAGTGCCATGGAGACTGCCTCTCCTGTTTGGGGACTCCGGAGCGCTGCGAGAGCTGCAGAGACCCCAAATCTTTCCTCCATCTTGGTCGATGTCTGTCCGTCTGTCCGGAGGGTTACGCCGCCGAGGGACGAGTGTGTGCAGGTAACATTTTCACAAATGTTATCTTTCTTTCAAATGCAGCTGTGCACGGAAATTAAGAATACGGTCATTAAAGAGATAAATTAAAACAAGCTCAATTTCCATTGATTTATTGTTTTTCTCTATTTCCATCAAAAAATGGTTGATGAAAGTCTTCAGTCTGGTGGGTTTTTTTGTTTACAGAGACTGTAATTGATTTTATTTGTCGTTTATGTTTATTTTTGGATGTTTAAAATGTCTTCCAGCTCCAGTGTTAAATATTCTTGCATTATTAAGCCTTTATTACCATTATGTTACTTGCAGATGGAGTCAAAACAACAATATTATCGTTTATCTCAATAACTTCTGGGACAATTTATCATCCAGTAACATTTGTCATTGTGACCGGCCTAGTGATGAGCTTAACAGTTTTCAGACAGTTTTTCCTGTCTGAAAAAGTTCCTGGCTGAACGTTAGAAGCAGTAGAAACCCAAATTGAAGTATAAAAACATACAGAAGGTGAATTTTGCACGTCGGTTTGTTAAATAGACTGATGAAGAGGTTCCAGATGGACTCGTTTACAGCTTCAGCTGTGCTGATGAAAAGACAGAAATTGCAAACATTGTTGCTTCACAACCAAAGCCTTCGGCCCTGACTGCCATATTTAAGCTGCAGGCATCTTGTTACAGAGCAATTACTGATAAGCACCGAGCAATTTGCTAATCACAAACTATCACTCCTGCACAGGAATCCCTTGAATGGGTAAATATATGGATGCCAAAATGGCCGCTGGAAGCTATCGTTTCATCGCAGCATTGGCGGCTGATGGATAAAATTGCAACATCTCACCTATCATATAATTAAACGTCGGGTAAATCTATCTACTACTACCAGCCACCAGCATCAACATGGCACCTCTGGAAACGTGTAAATTACTTAACGAAAGACACAAACTCACAAATGTGTTGACTAACCCGACAGCTTTCTGTGCTGAGAAGATAAAAATAATGCCTATGAGGGTCTGAATTAAATTTATATGAGAAACAAATATTATTAATAGCTTTGAGAGCTTTGAACCTTCTCTAAGTATGTTTTAGTTTAAACCAAAACTCAGTTTGGATGCAGCTTCTGTTTATAGTTGTTGTTTACCAATAATTGCTATAATCTTTGAATCCTTTCATCTGTTCTCTGGATGAGTGAGATGTTTGCCTCCTACAGATTTTTACATGCAGATGTGAAATAATAGAGCCAAGTGTGAAAAAAAAAACACTCATCAGCAGCTATAGCTGTTAATGCTTGTCAGCAAACTGAAGACTTTCCATTTTTCCTCTTTAAAATTATTAAAAGTAATAAAAAATGGCTGGCTGGGATTGAAAAAAAAAAGTTTGATTCTATGATTTTTTTGACTTTGCACATGAAATGAAAAAAACATGAACCCTGAGCTTATTGATAATGTGAATTTTAAAAGGGTCTTAACATGCAAAATTAACATTTTTCACATTTTTTAACAATCCAAATGCTTTTAATAAACCATCCAGCCATTTTTTGGCAGTAACTTAAAGGTTTTTGGTGTCTGGAAAATGAGCTGTATCAAAATCTTCTCAATTGTTGAGTCACGCTGTGCCGTTACCTAGCAACCCCAGCGAATCTCAGCCCATTACCTAGCAACACAAGCTGAGCTCCAGCGTGTTTGGTCAGCTGGTTATACCTCTCGGTGCGCTGTACAATGGCTGCTGGAAAAGACAACAGTTTTGTTGTTGATTTACCATCCCGAAACCAGTTGCTGTATTCTTGTTGGTTGTGCAGGAGGCTCCACTTCTGCTTCTCTAAGATGCACGTTTGTATAATTGTGCTTCTGTTTGCAGCCATTTTTACATGTAAGTGTACATGTTGAGTTTAGACATCCAGTTTGAAAAGTCACTACTATAATTGAACCTCTCCTCTTGATCCAGTGGCTTGTTCTGAGCTGTACTTTGAAAACAGAATCTAGATTAACTCCAAGCTTCTCTGGGGCCGAATACGGAGCCCTGAGGAACTCCAACGGTTTCCAATATGAAAATAAAAACTTTATCAGATGGATAAGGCTTTGAAAACATTCATTTTTAATTGCAGTGTAAGAATATTTTGTCGCCTGAACACTTTCAGCTCTGGTACAAAAAGTTTGTGTGGCTCTGTTCTAGTCTGTCTAAATAAAATCAGCCATCAGGAAAGAGTTATTTAGGTCGAGCTTCTGACCTTGTTATAAATTTCCCTCTAAAGTTGTAAAAGTTGCCGTGGTTCAGTATGTGTTCATGTAGAAAACAGAGATATTAGAAGTATTAAATGCCTTTCTGCTTCCTTTTTGTTTTTATTGAAGTGTGTGAAACTAAATATTGATGTTTTCGTGTCTGAGCAGATGTAGGTGAACATACGGTGACGAGGCAGAGCTTCATATCTCTAATGAGATCAAATCTTCCTCCCTTTAAATTTCTCATCATGTTTCCTCAGGGTGTTCGTTTTCTGTTTCTCCTCTCACCTTCCTCGCTCTAATCCTTCATCCTCATGACTTTCTCCTTTTCCCCTGCTATCTGTCTGTGTGGGTGGCTGTTTGCTTTAAAGGGGATTTAGTTTTGTATTCGCTATTCTACTTTGAAAAGAAACTTTCCTTTGCATTTTCCCTCCTCCTACATATCCTCAGGTCAGTGTTATATACAGAATGTGAGTTTATTGTGGTAAAGAACCACAAACCTCCCAGTTAACGTCTTTATCTCAGAGGTTCATGGTCTGCGGTCTTAGTTGGTTGTTTTAAATAAATCTTGCTGCAGTGTTTTAGGTTGTTAAATTTTAGCTGCAAGTTGAATCAAAGTAAACAATTACAATCACCTTAAATACAGTCACATCATCCGGATTAGGTTAAACAAAGGGGAAAAACTGAAACGGGGAGAATAATAATCTAAGGCATTTTAGTCCACATCAAAACTCTGAATGTTTTTAAAAGGTGGGATGGAACGCATTGATAAAACCTGCTAAACTGTTAAAATATCTATAAATAGCTGCTTGTTTCAGCATTCAATAAGTGTTTCTAAATAATATTGAACATCTTTTCACATTGGTCAGTCCATCCAGGATTTTATTATTTATTTTATTTTATTTTTTAAATCAAAATCACAGATTTTGTGGTGTTAAGAAATATTTGTAGGGAACTTTTATTATATTAATGTTAAAGGTGACTTCTATTACCGGTCACGTACTTGACATCCGGGAAGGCAGAGGCAGCAGTCACTCATTCAAAATATCTGGCCAGTTTTAAGAAACATTTGCAGCAAAAATAAGAAAATAATGAGTTGACTTAGTGTGGATTTTGCAGACTTGTGGAAAAAGTGGAGGGACTAATTGATGTAATTTGGAGTCTAAAGGGCCACATAAAAAGCTCCGGTGGACCAGATTTGGCCCCCAGACCTTAAGTTTGACACATGGAAAGAAGTCCATGATCTAAGTTAATAAACAACAAATAAATGATAAAAAGCTCAAAGCACTTGGAGTCAGTTACCTCCCCTGACCCAAATTATATCTGAATCGGACCTTTTCCCTCTGGTTCCTAACTTTCTTTCTTTTTCTTGTCAAGTCGAGTTCACAGTTTTGTTGAATTAAGCAGATTGTTCACCTTTGGAGTTAATTTCCTTTGAAGCCAGGACCTGCAGAGCTTCATTAAAGTTACACAAAACTTGAGTCCCCCAGCAGAAAGAGAAATCTGCTCCTGCTCTTGTTTCATTCTCTCACAGCAAACACTAAAATCACATTTCAGTTTGCTTCCTTTCTCTGGATGTTAGGGGAAAACTGTGTTCACTTGGATTTGTGCTGAGGTCTCCAGTTTTTTCTTCCATGTTCCCTTTAACAATGTGACAACCCTCCAGCAAACTCTGGATTTAAAGTCTCCCTCTGGGTTTCTGCGTGTGAAATTCACAACCTGCTTCCTGTTTCAGTCCTGCATCCATTTCCAGAGCTCAGCTTTGCTCAGAAAATTTATTTCTAAAGCAACTTTTTGACCGCGTCCCTTCTTGTTCCCTTCAGCCTGCCCACAGTCCTGTGCCACCTGTTCCAGTCGGTGGGATTGCCAGTCCTGTGGCTCCCAGTTGCCCTTACTGGGCCCAGACAGAGACCAGTGCTTGAATTCCTGTCCTGCTGGTTCCTACCAGCACGACAACGCACACTGTCGCCGTAAGTACCACAACATCTGATGCTGATCCACCACAATGCAAGAAAAAGCAAAGTTTAGGTTAAATTTACATAATCACACTGCAGAAAAAATTCTGCCGAGTATTATTGTTGTAGTTTCTAATGCAAATATCTTATAAATAAGACAAAACTAACTTTTCAGCAACATATAGGAGCTTATTTTAGTACATAATTCTCTAATATTTGTACTAATTCCACTGGCAGATTACTGAATTCATTACAGGAAAAATGTTTTAAGTTAAATAATCTGCCAATGGAATAAGAACTTTTTCATGGATATATTGGAATTATTGACTTAAAACAAGCTCTTATGTCTTGCTGAAAATTTACTTGTAAATCAGTTTCCTCTCATTTCAAGTGTACTAAGAAATTTGCGCCAGAAACTAAACCAAAAATACTTGGTAAAATGTGTTTTTGCAGTGCAAACCTATTTTTGCTTAAATATAAATTGATGGAATTTCATGCATGTTTTGTTGACAGTCTTTTCCTCTCGTCAAGTCACATAATTTAGACACAATCTCTAAACCGTTTGATTAGAAAAATAGTTTCTGAATCAAATTGGTATACACTGAAAGATTCTCCTCTCTCTGACTGCACAGTAAACTTGAGTATTTTTTCACTTCTGTGCCTCTAGATGAGATCAACACCACAGAGTGTCGTTTCTTGGCTTTATCTTTGCAGACCTCCCTAATAAGACACACATGAACCTTTCACTAACATCCTGTCCTCTAATGGCCTCAGTCCTGATAAGCAGAGCCGTAAACACTGTGTTTCAGTCAGAGGCTTAAGTATTATTCTCTCCTTCTGACATTTCATGCAAATATTAATTTCCTTTCAGCTCAAATTGTTGCTTTCTAAGCAGCACGTTTGGGGGCGGCTGTGTCTGTTTTTTTGCATTTTTGTTTCCTTAAATGAACTTTGCAAGTCTTTCTTTGCAGTGAATGGGGTATTACAATAGCTCTGAATTTTTCAGGGAGCGACGGAGGGCAAAGCTCCCTCTGGGGACCGAGTATTATTGCTTTAGTATTGTGCAGATTAAAGAAGTTGTACTTTTTCAGCCTGGGCCTGCTGGGTTGTTGCTGCACTTTGGCCCTTCTGAAAGTTACATAAGGTTTCATTTCTGCTGGAAGAAAAGAGGAAACTACGAACAGTTTGGAGAAAGCATTTGTTTGTTTTTGTATTTTTGGTTTCTTTATGTCTTTCATTCTCTTTACCAACTTTTCGATTTACTTTTGTGATTTAAGGTCAGATTTTTGTCAAAAGACCTTTTTTTTGATGAGGCTGAGTATAAAGACTTTAATGTCATTTCTACTTAGTAAAACCTCAAACGGACATAAAACTGACCAAAAAAACATATTAAAGATACAACCTTCTTTACAGGTCAGTAACAAGATCTTTGTTTTGATTTGTGTAAAACAAAAACCTCCTGATTGTTGAGCCACACTGCGCCATTACCTAGCAACCCGAGCCCGTTACCTAGCAACCCGAGCTAACCTACAGCATGTTTGGTCAGTTGGTTTTATCACTGACCAAACAGTGTCAGTGGCTGCTGGAAAAGACAAATGTTTTGTTGTTGACTTACAATTCAAAAGCCACTTGATGTATACTTGGTGGTTGTGCAGGAGGCTCCACTTCTGCTTTTCAAATCGGTGTAGCTGTATAATTAAGCATTTGTCAGCAGCCATTTTCATGTGTGAGTGTAAACGTTGAGTTGGGGGCGTGGCCAGGTGCAGCTTATTTGGATTTAAAGTGACGAGAGGCCCTGAAACAGCTCAATGTATTCAGAACTGAGTAAATTAAAATCTCATTATCCAAGAATGTTTTTGTGCAAAAAATTTAGTGAACATGTTTTCTAAAGGCTGATCTTAACCTCCTTAAAGGAAATGAAAAAGGTCACCTTTAAACCAGCTGATGTTATTTAGACATTCCAGCAGAACCACTTTCTAAATACTGACAGATTTCAGTTGGTTTCTTGGCTTTAAATCTGTTTTTGCAAAACTTTTCTTAATTTATTCCAATTATCACTCCAGTTTTTTTCCCATAGCTTTAATTGTGACTCAGTTTGTTTTGATTTCTGTCGACATCTGATGCGAGAAAAACACTGATGTGTTTGTTACTGGAATTCAGATGCTGAATGAGCCATCAGATAAATGTTTCATCCAGCATTTCCGGCAGTTTTAATTTCAGATACGCCTTTTTATGCGGCTTGAGAGTTGAGACAATCAAGCTAATTGTTGTTTACACACCAGTAACAACAACACTGTTTGTGTGTTGAAGTACTGGAAGCGGATTAGTGGCATCCCTGCAGATGCTATGTAGAGATAAAATGACCCAGGGTGGGTGTGTGAGCAGAGAATAACCACATGGTGAATTGAATGGTTTTGCAGCTCCGTTTCTCTCCTTAATAACTGCAGACCTCCCTGTGCTCACACTCAATAAGCAGCCTTACATTGGCTAGACTGCAGCAGCTAATGCAGGAACTCTGAATAATACTCCACATTGTGCAAATTCTCGGTGGACACGCCGGGTGACCTCCGTCCTGCTTTTTGTGCAACCCATTGTAGGATGCACATATAGAGCATTAATCATGTCTTCCCCACAATAACAGCCGATGTGTTGAACGCAGCACGGGAAAATCAGGTGGTTGTTGTGGCAAGATGTCCGCTCATCTACCTACGCCTGCTGCAATAAATGATGGCATGATTGATGGCACGATAAATTAAAACAAACTCAATAATTTCCACTTGCATGATTTATTGTTTTTCTCTTTTCTCTCTTTCTACCAAAAACTGGATGATAAAAGTCTTCAGTCTGGAGCTTTGGTCTCAACTAGCTCTTCTTTTGGGGGACAATTTTGTTTACAGAGACTTCATAATTCATTTTATTTATTACTTCTGTTGTTTTTAAAATTTTATTTAAAATACCTTCCAGTTCCAGTGTTAAATCCTCATTAACATTTAAAGTGTATTGATATTTGAGAATATGTTTTTTAATTATTATGCCATACTTGAAAATTGTCTGAAAACAATATTATTGTTTATCGCAATAGCTTCTGGTACAATTTATCGCCCAGCAATATTATCGTGACAGGCATGTACAGCTGGGACTTGACTCGACTTTTGTCTGTCTCTACTTGAGACTTGACTCATGACTTGAGGATAAAGACTTGAAACTTGCAAAACACTGACTTGCTCCCAGCTCTTGTACCTGCTCTGCATTCATCCAGGTTTGATACTGTAAAAAAAACAAGAACAATTTGCACCGCCGAGCTGGTTTTTGTAATTCAAACCCTTTGTGGGGTTCATCCTGCCAGCCAGCCATCCAATTCCTTTTAATCTCCAACAGGCTTTAACAGGAACAAAAATCCCTTGTTTTTTTTTCTCTCCTACAAATTTCTCCAGAGGATGAAACAAACACAAAAAAAGAAGAGGGACTAACAATCACAGCGACTGCAAATCAGCAGATGCAGCAGTGAAAAGCATCAGGCCCAATTCTGCCTGAGCGGATTTCTTGCTGGAGAAAATGGGAGGAGGGTTTGAGGATGGAGGTAAAGGGGATGGGAGCTGACGGTGGTAATGAGCTCCTGAGATGTTTCGCCAGATGGTAACTTTTCCTGGCAGCAGACCCGGACCACCCGGAAAAGCAGGGTGCTGCTGCAAAACTTTGCTTTTTAAACACGGCGAGTTCACCAGAGCTTCAGTTCATCTGCATGAGGTCAGCGACAAATGATGGAGGCTTTGTGTTGAATCTTCTCCGCTGTTGTTTGCAGCTGCTGTCAGGGGCGCCTGCAAGATGTTATCGGAGGAAGCGCACAAAACTATCACTGCACCTGACCCGTGTGTGTACTGCATGTGCATGGCACACAAAAACAGTGGGTCTAATCCACGTTCTTTTCTTTACAAATTATACTAAATAATATAGACACACTGCAAAAACTCATGATCCTACCAAGTATTTTTAGTCTTGTTTCTAGTGCAAATTTCTTAGTAAACTTGACTGGAGACGAAACCAATTTAAAACTAACTTATCAGTAAGATACAGGAGCTTGTTTTAAGTAAATAATTCCTTAATGTTGATGGATAATCTTGTTATAAGTAAACTGTCTTCCATTGTAACAGACACTTTTTAGCGAATATTAAGGAATTATTTACTAAAAACAAACTCCTATATCTTGGCGAAAAGATACTTGTAAGTTAGTTTTGACTTATTTGAAGTGTAATAAGATATTTGCACTAGAAACAAGGGTGAGTGAAGCAACAATGTTTGCTTGATTTTTGACTAGATTAAACTGTTTAACTTCCAGGGCAATGCTCAGGAAGAGCGCGGCAGATGTCACGGTCGGCCAACCGAGTGACCCGTCAGCTCTTCAGTTAGCAAAGCCATAAAAAACCCCTTGTAAACTGGCATAAACTGCCTCACCTCACTATCGAACAATACATTCATAAATTCATCAATTTTGAGCATAAAAATGTTTTATCTATAAAATAGCTAAGTGGATAAATAGATTTTCTCTTACAATTGTTTGTATTTTACTTGTTTTGATGACAGATAATGCTTAATTTAAGCTTCAGTTTAAAGTCTAAAAACTTTTAAAATCTTTCATCATAATCTTATTTTCTTGCATAAAGAGACAGTTTTATCTACTTTTCTTTATTCTCAACAGTCTTGACTAAACTGAAATTAGTTCCATCGTTATAAAGTAATACAAGAATATGTGTTATGGGAGCTTTTTGTTTTGTTGCCTTATAGATGAATCTAATTTAAGTTGAATGAATTACAGAAAAAAAAAAACTGCAAATGTAATTTCACTCCTGAGATCCCTCCAACATCATATTTTCAGATGCAGCTCTGCTTTTTTATTATTTCAGAGGGTTTTTATCTGTCCAAATCTGCTTTCTCCACTCTTGGTTTAATTGCTGAATATCTCATCTCATCTCATCTGGCTTTCTCACTGGAGGTTTGGGAGATGTGAACCGTTTCTG